TGTATCTACTCAGTACTGAACCATGGTTTAATAATATTTGATCTCAATAGTTTAGTGGTTACAATACTAATATGATTGTATTTTGATGTTTTACTATAATGTTGTCTTAATACTGCTCTATTGTTGTAATATTATGCAGTTTAGTGTCAATAATTGTATTGGCAATGTGGCCTCTTTCTGCATACATACAAACCAACCCCTGGCACCACCCTTGGCCACAGCTCCAATGGTCTAATCCTCAATGTCATGGACTTTCATGTGGGAGAACAGGGTTCAAAACCTAGCTAAAGCAACTTTAACAGAAAATCTCTACAAACTTCATATTGTCACACAATTACCCTTATTACAAACACCTGCTGACGTGACAGGCACAAGCTGGTGTAGAAAACACATTTGCACTTGGTCACAGTTCATTCTGCAAGTCCACTGCTGCAGGCAAAGCCATGCTGCAATGACATGCTACATGGCAATGCACACTTGTTTTTACATAGTAAAAACCCAGGTCTAGTTTATTACTGTTTTTCCCCCCAACATTTTTGATCAACCGTAGCACAGTAACAGCTGCACCGATCAATGCAACATTAGGTAGAAATGTAGACGTGTCCGACCTGCACTGAGCCAGCCAACGGTTTTACGATAGACCCCATATTTGAGGAAAGGGGTGTCTGGACATACAAAAATGCTTATAACTCAATATCTATTCAACATAGGAGCTTCACATTTATTTAGTATTTTTTGTATAACTCTGATGAAGGGCTGTCCATCGGGCCCACTAATGAGCCCCCAGACCCCCACCCCATCCCCCCAGACCCCACATCATCTAAAAGGAGGATGTGTGGACATACAAAAATGCTTATAATTCAAAATCTATTCAACATAGGAGCTTCAGATTTTTTATTTTTTTGTATAGCTCTGGTGATGGGCCATCAGTCTGGCCTACCAATGAACGGCCCCCCAATAAAATTTTGGGATGCACCTAGCAGTATAAAATTTGGTAGGAATGCAGATGTGTTTGACCTACACTGCACCAACCAGTGGTTTTACGATAGACTCCATATCTAAGCAGTAGAGGTGCAACAATACATGTACCCGTATCGAACAGTGCTTTAGGTTCAATACAYACTTGTATCAAACAATACAGATTTTAAAAATTTATTTTATCAACTTGTCTTCTGAAGATGCTCTGTGTTAAAGGATCAGTGGATCTGTGTTCGACTACTCCACYTAGGCTGCATTTTTGAGCACAGATCCACTGAGAAACTTGCTGTTTCAGCAACATTTAATTTAAAAACTGTACTTTTGAGGTTAAACAAATGTTCATAATTAATTTAAATAAATTACAAGTGAAAAGGGGCATGGAAATTTCCCTTTTTTTGTATCGAAAAAATATCGAACCGTGAGACTAAAGTATTGAACCGAACCCGTGAATTTTCTGTATCGTTGCACCCCTACTAAGCAGGGGGCTCCATCTGAAAAAGGGGTGTCTGGACATGAAAAATGTTTAGAACTCAAAAACTATTTAACATAGGAGCTTCAGATTTTATTTATTTTTTAAATTAATTAATTTAATTTTGGTGTTTAGCTCTGATGAAGGGCAATTCATCGGGCCCACCAATGAGCCGCTGTGCGTTATAGTTATTCAAATTTGTTTTATTATTCTTTCTGACATTAGGATTGGAAGACAACACAATTCCTACGTCTGGATAAATTTACTGCTGTTCAAATCGGTCACTTCAATGATCCACTGTGTTTGTAGTGATGACAGACTGTTTGCTCACTTTGGAAACACCCAGCAGAACTTGAACAGATGAGTCTCTTCCCCACTGAGGTGGTCCCGGCTCATTGAACTGACAGGGTGACATTTGTTGTGTTGGGTCAAGCATGTCTGAGGCAGCATCCCTGTAACCACTTCCACCTTTGCCAGTATGACTGTTTAACAGCTGAGCTGCCCACATCCCTGTCTGCCTCCAAAGGGCACTGGGAGTGTGTCCTGCCAGAGGACTGGAGTACTGAATCTCCCCAGTGATGTTTGACAGCCTGAAGACAGAACTGTGACCTGCTGTGTGTTTTGTGTTCACATATTCTCCTTCATGTTTGTTTATTTTGAGAATAAACTGGAACTGTGGAGCTTGTTTGTTTGGCAGCTGGTGGCTGAAACACTTGGTTTTTGCTCAATGATCTCTTCATGTTTTCTTCTGATGCTGAGAATAAACTGATGAGTTATTGGCTTTGTCACATTACATGGCAGCGCTGGTATCAGTAACAACACTTTTTACCATGTGCTACCATGAAAGGCAGGCAGTCTGTGTCTGTTAGCAAAATACCTCGTGCATCACTGGATGAAAWTGTTTRAAACTTTCAGGAAATTAYRGATSCACGTCTACAACTGATTGACTTTTGATGCCAACCCCAATAAAGATGACCATACTGTAATTCAGTCAGTTTTAGTTTTACATTGAGCTGTAACAGGATGTAGGAGCTGAGAGTTAATCACAACATACACCCTGACTGGGACATCTTGAGGTATTGCAGTATCGCACATAATGTTACTTTCAAGTATGAACAATACATCAGTATTTACATTGATATTGGTCTTATACTGTAAGTAAAACTGGGCTGATATTAACGTCTGATATTGATTTTTTAAATTTTTAGTTTGGTGTTTCTGAAAAGGAAATGTTTGGTTGAGTGGTATCTGTATCATGATAGTGACCCTGCAGCCAGGAATAACTGAAGCAGAGTCATGTCAGCGGTCTGGTCATTTGTTTTACAGTACTGAAAAAAAAACACAAGTGTATGTATATAAATTATGTGTTTGTGTAATATTGGTAAAAATCGGTTATCAGTTATAATGCCAATAATAATATCGGATATCGATATCGGCTGAAATTTTCATATCAGTGCATCCTTACTTTCAAAGTTTAATGGGAACATCTTCAGCTCTGTCATTTCTCAACCTGAGATGATTTTAGGTGGCGGCCCGGCGGGCTTTCTATGCTAGCTGTTTAACTCTAAATAACTAGGAGTACACCTGATGTAATATCGCCTTACCAAACAGAAAAATATCTTTCATTCGTTCAGATTTTGAGCAGAGAGTCACCGTCCTCCTCACTTACTCTAAGCACTGACAGATCTCACACGTTCTTTGTTTGAAACTTTCACACAAAGTGGAGGGTGATATGCRTTTCTTCAAGCAGTTCTAGTTTCATTCAGTCTTGCTGCTGATCTGAAAAATATTTGGGCTTTTTCTGTCTAGAATAAAGTCCTCTAGAGCTGTATTTCCCAAAGTTGGGGTCGGGACCCAAAGTGGGGTCCCAAAACATCAAGGTGGGGTCCTGAATAGATT